AATTATTTTAGTCTTAACACTAATGTCACTTTGGTAAGAACTTGGTGATCCATTTGATGTCTTAATCTATGCTATCAGTCCCAGGTCTTACAGCTAAATTATAATTACCCTCATCTGAATTCTTCCCTAGCTGTGCTCTCTTTAAAGAAAGCTCTTGTTTTCCTAACCCCTACTTGAGGAATAAAACCTTCTCTTCCCCCAATATTTTAGAGGTCACACTCAGAGCCCCAGCATATAGTATCATGCCCGATAACATGAACATGCTGGATGCCAAGTGTTGCTTAAGGATGGTGACAGCATATGTTCAAAGTAACTTAATTATTTTTCCTTTGGAGAGGGAAGGGAAAAGTAGACACTGCTAGGATGTGACTATGGAGTGAATAAATAAGTATGAATGGTTAGAATGGTTGTCCACAACTATTTTGCAGAGTCTATAAGGGGCATAAGAGGAAAGTTGGACAAACGACTGTGGTGTATTTCAGCAGTTTTGAAGTGGGGGGTGTGTGTGTGTGTCTGTGTGTGTGTGCATGTGCATGTACACCAAGGAGGAAGAGAGATGCCTCAGTAAGGAGGTTGCACTGAGAAAGAAAATCATAAACTAGCCACTGACAGTCAAGGAGATGACTTGACCACAATAGCTTGCAAGAATGGAGAAGGAGGGAACAGATGAGTCAGGTGAGCTGGGCTGTAATTAGTTTCCACAGAGTCTGGTAATCAAACAGGCATTTACATATTAAGAGCAAAGACACACATAATCCCTCAAATGATGACCTATATCAACCAGGAAGCCTGATTCTTTCAGGCTTTTGACTGACTTTGGAAATCCTCCCGTTTTCTGTAGTCCAGGCCTCCTTTCCAATTCTCTTGAAATGTTAGAGACTTGGTACATTTCTAAGCAAAAACAAAACAAAGCAAAAACAATAAAACAATATGAATTCCAGGGAAACCATTTAAGTATGTGGAGAAGGGGAAACACAAAATTTGGTTTATTTCAGCTACAGTGTATGTGTGTTTGCAGGGAAGGGAGGCTCAAGGCTTGTAAGTAACTTCTTCTGTGATGTTTATGCTTTATTTCCTGAACCAGGTATTAGGTATGGTTGTGTTTGTTATGTCAGGGTGTCTGAAATATTTCATAATTTACCAAAAGAAAACATTTCTGAGAAGAAAGGGAGGAAAAGAAAAATGATTTTGTCTACGTCCCTGCTTCTACCTGGTAAAAGATAGGGATTCCTCCTGGTTATCCTAATTTTATTATAACTGAAAACTGTGTCTGTTCACAAATAAGACTGTGTCTACTAACCTCTTGGAGGTTCATTCTCTTAAGTCAATTTATTTTTTAGCAAATGTTCAAATCACACACCTATGAAGCTGGATTGACTTCAGTGACTTCATCCATGGGTGTGACTTTGGTGGCACTGAACTGCTGATTTGGAGATGCCCTTCCTGTTTTGTTAGTATTATGACATCACACATGTTTGAATGACACACCAGGGAGAGAGGTCATAGCCCGAAGTGCTCATTCAGCTGTGATATCTATAGGCTGCTGACAGGGCACTGGGTTATCCCAGGCTTCCTCCAAACTCCTTCCTATCTATTAGTCCTGTGCCACTACATCTTTACCTTGGCCTGAGGATCACTGTGCTCTTTATTTCCTATCTAACCGTGATCACAGAAAGAGAAAAGAGAAAAGCCATGTGTCATCTTGTTATAAAACATATTAATAGCTTCAAGTAAGAAATGAAATGGAAAAGGACGAATCTAATTGCTAGAGTTACACCTGCAAACTATCTGTGTATTTCATGATTCCCACTTGAGATTCTATCCAAAGCAGAGGCAGATTGGCATTATGCTGATTCATGACAACCTTGATGTTTTACTGTCTGACTTAAAATCCCTGCCCTGCCTCTTCCTAGATACATAGTCTTGAAAAAGTTTTTTCTCCTGCCTCAGTCTCCTGAGTAGCTGAGACTACAGGCTTGTGTCGGCACCATGTCTGGCTTATTTTTTAAATATATTTTTAGTTGAGACAGCCTTCCGCCATGTTAGTTAGGCTGGTCTCAAACTCCTGACCTCAGGTGATCTGCCTGCCTCAGCATCCCAAAGTGCTGGGATTACAGGCACGAGCCACCACATCCAGTCAAATTTTTCTTTTTCTTTTCTTTTTCTTTTTTTGAGACGGAGTCTTGTTCTATCACCAGGCTGAAGTGCGGTGGCATGATATGGGCTCACTGTAACCTCTGCCTCCCGGGTTTAAGCGATTCTCCTGCCTCAGCCTCCCAAGTAGCTGAGACTACAGGTGCACACCAAGCCCAGCTAATTTTTGTGTTTTTAGTAGAACCAGGTTTCCCCATATTGGCCAGGATGGTCTCGATTTCTTGACCTCATGATCTGCCTGCCTCAGCCTCCCAAAGTGCTGGGATTACAGGCATGAGCCACCACGCCCAGTCCAAAATGTTTTTATCATCTAAAGTGTAAATCTTGTTCCAGTGAAGCAGTCACTCCCCATTTTCCTGCCCCCAGCACAGTGGTGCATTTATTTATCTTAATTTTTAAGATGGAGTCTCACTCTTGTCACGCAGTCTGGAGTGCAGTGACATAATCTCGTCTCACAATCTCCACCGCCCGGGTTCAAGCGGTTCTCCTTCCTCAGCCTCCTGAGTAGCTGGGATTACAGATGTGCACCATCAAACCCTGTTATTTTTGTTGTTGTTGTTGTTGTTGTTGTAAAGACTGAGTTGTGCCATGTTGGCCAGGCTGGTCCCGAACTCCTGATCTCAGGTGATCTACCCGTCTTGGCCTCCCAAAGTGCTGAGATTACAGGCGTGAGCTACTGCACCAGCCTAGTGGTGCATTTATGAAAATCAATGAATTTCCATGGATACATCATTGTCACTGGAGTTCATAGTTTGTATTAGGGTTCACTCTTGGTGCTGTGCATTCTATGGGTTTGGACAAATGTATACATGTGTCCATCATTATAGTCTCATACAGAGTAGTTTCACTGCCTTAAAAATCCTCTGTGCTCTGCCTGTTCATCCCTGCTTCCCCCAACCCCTGGCAACAACTGATCTTTTACTGTCTTCGTAGTTTAGCCTTTTTCAGAATGCTAATCACATAGCATGTAGATTTTTCCAGTTGGCTTCTTTCACTTAGTAAATGCATTTAAAATTCCTCCCTGTCCTTTCATGGCTTGAAAGCGAGCTTCCTTCCTTCTTTCCTTCCTTCCTTCCTTCCTTCCCCACCTCCTTCCCTCCTTCCCTTTTCTTTCTCTTTTCTTTTCTTTCTCTTTCTTTTTCTTTCTTTCTTTCTTCTTTCTCTTCCTTTCTCTTCTTTCTTTCTCTTTCTTTCTCTCTTTTCCTTTCTTTCTCTTTCTTTCCTTTCTTTCTTTTCTTTTCTCTCTCTCTCTCTCTCTCTCTCTCTCTCTCTCTCTCTCTCTCTGTCTCTTTCTTCTTTCTTTCATCTTTCTCTGTCACTCAGGCTGGAGTGCAGTGGCGCAATCTTGGCTCACTGCAACCTCTGCCTCTCAGGATTCAGGCAATTCTCCTGCCTAAGGCTCCCGAGTGACTGGGATTACAGGCACCCACCACCATGCCCGACTAATTTTTGTATTTTTAGTAGAGATGGGGTTTTGCCATGTTGGCCAGGCTGTTCTCAAACTTCTGATCTCAGGTGATCCACCTGCCTCAGCCTCCCAAAGTACTGGCATTACAGGCGTAAGCCACTGTGCTCGGCCTAGAGCTCATTTCTTTTTAGCACTGAATGATATTTCATACTCTGGATGCCCCAATTTGTTTATTCATTTATCTACCAAAGCACACCTTGGTTGCTTCCAAGTCTTGGCAACTATGAATAATGCTGCTATAAATATCCATGTGCAGGTAAAAAAAAAATAGTTTTTTAACCTCTGTGTAAAATGTAGATATTAATAAATGCCTACTTTTTGAAGTTAAAAGACTAAGTAAAAAGATGCATAAAAATGCTCAGCACAATACCTGGAAAAATAGCAAGAGCTAAATCAATTTTGGCAATTACTGTGTACATTGCTTTTAAATTTCCTTCTCACCCTTTTAATGCTAGTAAGTGGAATACCTCAAATGCTGATAGACATCAAGGATAACCTACCTCCAGGAAAAATCAGCTTCCAGGCAAAAATCATATCTGGTTAGAGTGATCTCCGTCCTTGGAGGGAGATTTCTTCCCCAAAAGCAGTAGATCCTTCCACCTACTCTATTCTCCCTATGAGTGCCAATTATCAGTTCATGAAAGGAGACAGGAGTCGCTAAACTGGTTGGTAGCTTACTTTGTTTTTATTTCATAATATGTGTTGCCACCTTCCATGTGAACAGCTAAAAGAGAGCAGAGGCCCAAATAATGGAGTGCATGTTCTCTCCTTTCGAGCTGTCTGGTCGCTCTTTCATCAGGCTAGGGGCCTCTTAGGGGATGAACGGTTTTATTTTCCCCAGAAATAAATTAGGCCAAGGAGATAGTTGGCAAGCACTGGCACGAGAGTGGCCCAGCGACAGCATCCCTATCCTTGGGATACCCTCCTTAGTAGATATGAATGGACTTGCTAGGATTATGAGCTCATGGTAGGCTTGGGAAAGAAAGTGACTTTCAACAGCTAGAAAAGGTAGCCTCGAAACTGACCACAAAGGAATTTAGCTTAGAGAATTCAGGAGAAAACTGAGCTCCAAGTGGAAGAAGGTAGTTCTAGATGGAAAACCTGTTTCACATAGACCTGTGGAGAAGCACACTGCCCAGAGGACTGTCTGTGCTCCTTTACACCAAGATTAAATATATCTACTACGTCTGCCTACTCCCTCCCTGTCACCTGCCCTTCCAGTCTCAGCCCAAACCAGCTCCTCCTCCTTCCAGCCTCTTTTTTTAAAGAGCTCTTTATTAGCTCTAAACCTGCAAGCGGAAGGCAGGAGATGATTGGCTAAGTGGGAGCAGCACCGCCCTGCTCATTCCCCTCCCATTCCCTCCCTGAGGAAACAGCTGGAATGAGAGGTAGGGAGGGAGGCTAGGATTGGCCGAGTCAGTGGCAGGGTGGGGAACGGTCAGGACAGAGGAAGCATTTACCTGTCTAGGTAAGTCAGGAGGAGGTCAAAAGGAGAAGAAAACAGTAGGAGGCAACGAAGCAGCCTCTGTCTCTGCCCTTTGAAATAAAAGGATATTTCTTATCCTCTCTTCAGTCCCCAACCCAGTGGAGGTGAGTTAATCACTAACCAACTATTGCTTATCCTGCAGCAAGAGGAGGGGTTTCATGGGAAATCAGAGCTACAGGGGAGGAGAGGCGTCCCTCTATACCCCGGCTAGGGGGCTGTCCTCTAGAGTTCCTCAGTTCTCTGTGTCCTTTCTGGGATCAGATCAGGTGGTAGTGACTTGAGATTGTAGCATTTTCATGGAGACCAGGGCTGGGAGGCATCTTTCTTTTTCATTTGCCTATTTAGGTTGGATAGGCATATTGTGCAAATGACAAGGAAAAGAAAATAGATTTGTTTTGGAAATTTCCATCTCTAAACAATTGAAATTGAGTTGTGATTTTGGAAAAGAAAAGTTGAAATAGAGGGAGTCAAAATGGGGGAGAGTATTTTGGTTTTCCATTGCGTTTGCAACAGGAAATTCTCTCGTGACTTTGTCAGCTCTGTGTTGATCTTTATTTAAATAATGGGTGCAGTGTGTGTGTGTGAGTGTGTGTGTGTGTGTGTGTGTGTGTGTGTGTGTGTGTGTTCGATCATGCTTGACAATGGAGCTCTCTGTGGACAGGTGTGTTAATCGTGAGCTGTACTAGGTTGTTTGTAAGGGGATATGAGGTTTGGGCATGTGAGGAAAATTTCAACTCCAGCTACCAGCTCATCTTTGGAAAACTCACGGATAATTTAGCTGCAAAGTCAAGTTTATTTGGGTTCTACTCAATTAACTTTCTGACTTTGCCTGTTAATAGGTACAGAGTCTGGCAAACAGAAAACTCCCCGGCTGTGCCTGGCCTCGCCCACATGAATATTTTGTGGCTGCATGTGAAGTCTAGTTAGAGTTCCAAGTGGGGCTCAGGCCAAGGTAGTGTGGCAGCGTCCACAGAGAGAGAAGCAGACCAGAGTGGTGGCTTTGATTTGTTTTCCTGCAGGTGTCCCAGTTGGCAGTTTGTGTGGCAGATTTACCTGCTAAGGAAGGCAGATGTAGGAGTCGCCTCAGAGTAGCAAGTTGCTTCTCCATTATCTGACCTGTGGGGGGTTAACGCTTTGGTCCCTAACATTGACTCTTTTCCTCCTGCTGCAGAGAAGAGGGAAGTGGGAAGACCTCAGTGCCAGCTCCAGGGCCTGGCACACACAGCCCTGAGTGAAAATATAATGGTTTTCCAGTCTTGGCAACTGGAGATTCAGACTTGAGCTTACCTCACACCACAGAGCCAACAGCCCACACTCACTGACTGAGGGCTGCCCTAGATGGTGAACTTAAAAATAAAGAGCGCCCACAGTGTCTAATAAAGCTCTTCTATGCAGAGGGTATTCTATGTTCTCCTTCCCTCAAACCCACTGGTGAAAGAAAAGATGATAATGTTGCCTAATCACACATAGAAACTTGCCCATGTGATCATGGAGACAGATAACAGTGCAAATTTTAGTCTTTCTGATATTTTTCTTAGGATATTTTCCAGCCTAAGCCACATTTCTGGGTAGTCAGCAAGAAGCAGAGACCTGGATTGAGAAGCAGAAAATCTCTCTGACTAGTAGGCAGAGAAGTAGAGCTCTTGGAGGGCATGTGAGTGAGCTCCTGGGAGGCGAAGGATGAGAGGGACCTGGATCTGATGAGAATGTGCAGACAAGCCAACCTGGGATGGGGCTGGAGCCCTCTCCCCACTACACCCTCTCCAGATGCCAGAACTTCACCTTTATTTCCTCTCTTCCTGGGCTTGGCAGTATTGAGTATTTTAGTCAGTGGAGTAGTTAATATTTAATGTGTCTTTGGATGGGTGGCCCTGATTATAGGCGCTGCATATTTCTTAACCCATTCCCTCCTCCCTTTAAGTCCCCAGAGAGGTCAAGGGTTAAAAGACACTAAACTCTCACCTTGAGTGCTTTGCTTGTTTCTCAGGCTTCTTATCAGGGTTTCAATGACTGCCTTAAAATAGCCCCCAAGGTTCAAGGTTATAAAGTCGGTAAAAGGAAATGCAGCATTTTTTTTAACCTTTCAGATTCTTTAGGTCAGAAAACTAGGTGTGGAGATGAGGTGACAGTGCCTCACTCAGCTTTGGTTTCTGGTTCAGATTCCTCTCTGCTGGGATTATGTAATTCCTAAAGACATGATCTTCCTTGGCAGTTGGTGTCATTTCTTTACTGTAGAAATATCTGCTGTTGAGGTAATACACTGGGCTGGAAGTATAAAGCTGAAGCAGATAATTTTTAGGGTTTAAAGTATGAAGCAGTAGGAGAAGGGGTTCTTAAGGCTTTTAGTATTTTAGTCAGAGGTGGCTAGCAAGCATTCTCAGGGGCATGCCCCTCTTGCATCCAGATAGTCCCTGAGATGCCGTCTGGAGGATTGCCCTGTATATTCAGATCTAGGTCATTCACTGTTTCCCTTAGGAAGGGGTAGTGATAAGAGCTCTAACTTTCTCATCTGTAAAATGAAGAAAACGTCATGTCCTGCCTATGTTTCCAGTTAACGCTGAAGATCTAATTAGCATATGTGAGAGCATTTTGCAAACTATGGCATGCTGTGTTCTTGTGAAGCAGTGCTTTTCCTACTGCTTTTATCTCTTCCAGCTACTTGAATACATCTTAGATTCTTTTTTTTTTTTTTTTTTTTTTTTTTTTTTTTGAGACAGAGTCTTGTTCCGTTGCCCATGTTGGAGTGCAATGGCGCGATCTTGGCTCACTGCAATCTCTGCCTCCTGGGTTCAAGCAATTCTTCTGCCTCAGCCTCCTGAGTAGCTGAGATTACAGGCATGGGCCACCACACCTGGCTAATTTTTGTATTTTTAGTAGAGATGAGGTTTCACCATGTTGGCCGAGCTGGTCTTGAACTCGTGACCTCATGATCCACCCACCTTGGCCTCCCAAGACATCCTAGATTCTGGTAGGAAAGAGAGGCTAGAAAACCTACGTAAAGTCTAAAGCATACTTGGAAGCACAAGGGTAGTAATTTTCTCTGAAAGTAAGAGGCAGCATCTGCTCACCCATTCATAGAGAATATTATGTTAATTACAGTGTCACTTTAAATATTTATGCCCTGATTTTTACAGAGAAGAAAATTGGAGCCCAAAAACTAGACCCTTAGATCTACGCTGACTTTTTGACAACAATGCCTTTGTCTTACACAGTTTTATACCACCAGTACCTATTATTAGGTGCTCATAATGTTAGTTTAACTGAAAACATTGCCCAAATTCCACTGAGCCATGTATTATCTGGGAAATTAAATATTTAAGAAAAAACTCACAGTAATAGGTTAGAAACCAAGAGGAAGGCTTCCAAAAGTTCAACCCAATAGACCCTAGAACAGACGACAAGTTCATTCATTCAGCATTTTTTGAGTGTTTCCTGTGTGCCTAAACTCACAGAGATAGATCTCCTTTGCTATAGTGGCCTCAACCCTATAGAATGTTAGGAATGGGTTAATCCTCCCTGAACTTGGCCATCATTCATGGAGTGGGTAGCTGAGATGACTGAACTTCATCCACATGAGAATCACGTTCCTGTTTCTTATGGTTATTAGGAAGCTAACCTCAAGAAGAAACCCTAAGAACTGCCTCACCCCATGTTTATTGATCACTGGGCTTCTTTGCTGTCACTGCCCCTCCAATCCCCTCCATATCTTCTAGGAGGATCTGGACCCCTGTGAACCAGATGTCTGGCTTGCTAGATCTTTCCTTTTTTCCCCCCCAATATCCTGCCCCCTAACCTGCCCCTCTTGAGAGACTCCTCCCAAGCAGAAGAGGAGCTCCATGGGGCTCCATACTTGCTAGCTCTATAGGGTTGGAAGGCTGATACCCAACCCAGCCCGAACCTGACTTTGGCATTGGAAGTGATTATTAACAAAGGCCAAGAGAACATCTGCCCTCACATCCAAACCCCAAGCCTCCCGATCTCCGACAGATCACGTTTTCTTCTAAAACTTTTTACCTAGTATTTGGAGGGTAGGAAGGATGAAAGAAAATGTAGGATGGCATTATAGGGAAAATATGGATTTAGAATAAGACAAACTTTATTCTAATTCTGGCTCTCCTCCACCTCTCTATCTGATCTTGGAACGGTCTTTTTATCTTAATTCTTTGAGAATTTCATTTTAACATAGGGCACTCACCTCTGGCCTCCTGTGTTCATTGGAGTGTTTCCCACAAGCAGACACATAAAAATCCTTGGGACTTTCAGAGGGAAGATGGCACTGCCTTCCTTTGCTACTACTATTGTTGACGATTACCTTGAAACTTTCTTTCCGTAAGGAATTGGAGTTGGGAGGAAGCTACATGGGACATTTCTCTTGTTCATTTGGCACAGGCTACGGAATCTCATTGGGGACATGTGCAACAACAGAGGCACTAGAAAGAAAGAAATGTGCTAGAAAGAAAATACGTTTGTGTCAACCACTGCAGGTGCCCTATTTATGCCTCCAGGCTAGGGAGCTAAAGATGGACATAGCAGTGGTGGTTGTGATGATGTTGATGATATTGACTTGAGAGCAGATGACAATTTACACTATGCAAAGTGTTTTACATAGAGTATTATGTTCTCACAATAACCCCATGGGATAGGTATTATTACGGGACCTGTTTCTTCGCTCAAGCCAACAGTCTTCGATTAAACCAGAATCCTTCTTTTCTAGCTCTTGTTTCTCTTGTTTCAATTTAGTTTGATCCCGGATGGATCTTGTCTTTTTCTTGTTACAAGAACAGTAACAGTTAACTATGGACCCATGAGGTGTTAGGGTATTTACTACCAACTAAACTGTGCTAATTGTTCTTTCATGTAATCCTTATACTAACCTTATTTAACGTGGAAAAACAGACCCAGAGTAATTTGCCTCAAGTCACATAACGGTAAATGGCTAAACTGGGATTTGAGCACAGACCCAACTAACTCCAGAACCTAAGCTATTAACCCCTGTAATATATATTGCTTATAGTAATGAAAATGTAGGTTAAGTTCCCTGGTTCAGAGAAAAATGTAAGAGAAGTAGTAGAAGTTTCTCTCTGACTAGACTGCCTCTCTACCACCTAAGTCCGTCCTTCTGCATGTATTTGAGCCAGCTCCAGGGCCCTTCCATGCAGGCTGGGGGTCTCGGGCAGTGGCTATTCACGGCCCCCTTCCAGCTCTCTGCTTGCTTGGTGTCCTTCCCGCCATGCCGCCCAGGGCCTGGGCAGAGCCTTGCCGAAGCCTTGGCTCACATGTGGCTTTGATTCTTCTCTTTTCAGGCCCGGCTTGGGACATTGTTCACTTCCCCTCACTTCCCCTCTGGGAGCCCCCTTTGCCATCCCTGCGCCTTGTTTCAGGCGATGCCCGAGAGGGAGCTGTGGCCAGCGGGGACTGGCTCAGAACCCGTGACCCGTGTCGGCAGCTGTGACAGCATGATGAGCAGCACCTCCACCCGCTCTGGATCTGTACGTAATACTCTCCCTCCTGCAACCTAGTCTGCTCTCTGCACACCTGCCCTGCCCTGCCCTGCCCTGCCCTGTCCTGTCCTTTCCTGCCACCCATCCTGGCTCACTGCACCTTCTCTTTCATCTTCCTCATTGGGGAGTGAATCACAACATCAGTGGGTGCTTTCTGCCTGAGTCAGCCCTGGCTCTAGAGAGAATAAGATGGGATAACCTTAGACAGCAATTGGGCAAATGAGACTTTTTCCCACAATTTTCATTAGGCTTGGCATTGGGTTGAGCAGAGAGATCAGGCCTGTAATCTGAGGACATGGTGGAAACCAGAACGTAGGTTCTTGTAGCACGTGGATTATTGCGGTTCTCTGCAATGAGCGGCATTACTTTAGTCTATTACAAAGATCAAAGAAAATAGGTAATTAGGAGCCTAGGTTCTGGAACCAAACAGATCTGAGTTCTCTATTTATAAGCTGTATGACCTTGGGCAAATTACTTAATTTCTCTAAGCTTTAGTCTCCTCAGTTCTCAAATGGGATAATGTTTACACTTAATTCAATGTGTGGGGAGTAAATGAGAGACAGGTAAAGCACCTAGTATATGCCTTTATGTAGAGAACAAACAGCCTTTCCAGAGCAGAGACTAAGAATCTTCCAAAGTCACTGTGTTTAGCTACTTGTGGGTGGCATTTAATAAACTGGAATTTTTCTGGGCATGAATTTAAATCTCAGTTGTTGTAAGGCTGGTGTGAAAGAGTAAATCTGTCCTGCATCTAGATGCAAACACTTGTTGTTCATGCTTGTCACATACATAAGAATTCTGGAGAATTTATGCTTTGTTGCTTTATATCCTATGGAGGTATCTGAAAATTTAAGGATTATAAGGGTGTCTACTGAATGTCAAGAGTGTCTAAGACAATCAATGGATTTTGATACTTAAAAATAGAGTAGAGAAAGGAACAGACACGCACAAATCCAAAGTGCACGAAATCACACAAAATTTCTTTTTGACCCTAGATAATGGGGCTGTGGAGACAACTTTCTATGTCTGTTAGGCTGAAGCCAATGCAATGGTCACATACCGTTGGGCACAGAATGCGACAGGGATTAAAGTTTTCAAAGTGAATCATTCATGAAGGAGAAACTCAGAGTCAGCGTATCCTTGGCAAGGCTATTTTAGGGGGAAGAGGACAATAAAGATTTTTTTCTTCAAGAAACTTGGAGTCAGCTTCAGGGCTGCCAGGGGCTATACTTGGGGCTTCCTTTCACATGGAGGCGTAAGTCAGTCAACAGACAGGTGGCTCTTTAAGGGGCAGAGACAACAGAAAGAGTTATTCTGCAACCATCTCTACTCTCTCCAGGATATTTTTAGAGCTTTCTCAAAATCTTCTCTGGCCATCTGGGTGGGCCTGAAGAATCTACAACTCTGAAGTGTCCCAAATATTGGGAAAAGGGGTGGAGACGCCAAGAAGAGACTCGGCCCAAATTTCTTACATTCCAATTTGCTCTTTTGTTTTCTCCTCAACCTCCTCTGCGGAAGAGCAATTCCACCAACCTTCTTGTCCTGGTACAGCACAGATAGTAACTGCCTGAGATGACTGTTACTGTTTTCTTCCAGGTACCTCTGTGTACTCTCTCATAATGAATATGATCTACTTGAAGATCTACTTAATATTTAATACTAAGCTGCTTTGCCCTCCCCCTTTAAGTTAATATTTGCTTTAGAAATGCACACTTATTTGAACACTAGCCAGAGCCAAATGTCATCAAGAAAGTAAATGTACAAGTGGAAAAAAATCTCCAATGGAATGCATTTCAAAGTCAAGTATAAATCACTTAGTACATTTATCTGTGGCTAGTCATGCCGCATTCCCATTGGCCTGGCAGCCTGTAGTTGGCTGCCTTTCCTGTTTTTCCTCATTCTGTCCTTCACATACCAGATCAAGTATGCAGAAGTACTTTTAAAAGTTAAAAGCAATATCACTGACGTTTCAGGTCAAATTGTTATGTTGCCCTTCTAATTTGGAGCACCTCTAAATCAGAGATGCCCAAAGTGAAATGTTTGACAAAGGCCGCACAGAGGAATTGGAATTGGAACTTGGGACTGCTTCTCATCTGTGCCCCTAAGTATTCCAGCCAGGACTGAGCCAAAGAAAGGCACCGGCCTTGGGCCTCCCCAGCTCGGGACCTGGGTGCTGGTGGGCCAGTCCCCTGACAGTCTCTGTCCTCCCTGGGGCCTACAGTTTCAGGAAGCAACTCCAGCGGTTTGCAGAGTGTCAGGAGGGAAAGGTTTCCAGCTCTTCAGCATTCCTTCCCCTCCGCAGGGTGGCTCTCAGGCCCCGCCAGTTTCTGCGGAGGGAGCTCTTTCTCACAGCTCTCTCTCCCTCCCCTGTTCTCGCCCTGCCACAGAGTGATAGCAGCTACGACTTCCTGTCCGCTGAAGAGAAGGAGTGTCTGCTCTTCCTGGAGGAGACTATTGGCTCACTGGACACAGAGGCTGACAGCGGGCTGTCCACGGAGGAGTCTGAGCCAGCCACAGCTCCCAGAGGTTTCCAAGCACTGCCCATAACCCAGCCCGCTCCCCAGGGTAAGGCAGATCTCTCTGGAGTAGAACTCCAGCAAAACCCAGGAAATCAAGATGTCCCTCTGGCCACTTTCTACCTTGCTTGCCCTCTGCCCCAAGGGTCACAGGCAGAAGAAGGAGTAGCCATACTCCCCACCACTCTCCTGGCTAAACAGAGCCTTGTCCCTGGAGGGCAGGAGGGACCGCTGGCAAGCCAGCTTCCTATGTCTTTCTATGAAGTATCAGAGCCCTGGAAGGGAAAGGGGGTTGACCAGCTCCCATTCTCCTGTGGAAAAATTCTGAAGAGATATGACCACAGGGGTGGGGGAGGCAGTCAGGGAGGGCTGGGTGGTTGGCTCTGGAGAGACTGAGTCAGTCTAGGGAACTAATCTGGGTGGCACAGAGGACAAGGGTAGGAGAGATAAGGAGAGGGAAGGGCTCCCCAGCTGCAGTGGGAAGTACTTTGAGGCCCTCGTCAGAAAGCGTGGAGAGCCAGTGGTGTTCAGGCCCAGCAGAAGGGGAACAGAACAACACACAACTGTGTCATGTGTGTGTGTGAGGCCACATGTCCCAGAGTGTGAGGAGCGTTTTACTCCTGTGAGGGCTGCAGATTTTTGTTGTTTCATTTGGCAAATATTTATTAACAGTTAGATCCTCCCTGGAGCTAGAGCTGTAAATGGAGACATAGGACTTTTCGGCTCCTTGAGACTGATTCACTGGCCCCGTGGGCCTGATGCACCTGCCTAGCTCACTGGAAGGAAAGAAGTCACTTTCTGGTGTGGGGACACTGTGACTATTACAGAATCATCCAGTGCTCATGGAAAATGAAAGTAGAAGAAGGCAGAAGCCTGGTTGAATCAAGAGCAAATCATTTATTCATAGGCTTCCGTTGGGCTCAGTTATCTGGAGCCCCAAGATAGGTAGAAGGAGCTGTCCCAAATTTATCCCCAACTCTGGTGCCTCTGTAGAAGCCTGAGGAGAGAACAAGTCAGGAACTTAGAGCCATCAGGGGTCACTCTCTTGCCACCCATTATGGAAAATTAATTCTCAGTCAAAAAGAATCTGCTATTATTATTTGTAGAAATGGGGTCTCTTATGGTGCCCTGGTTGGTCTCGAACTCTCGGGCTCAAATGATCCACTTGCTTTGGCCTCCCAAAATGCTGGGATTACAGGCATGAGACACTGCGCCTGTCCCCAGATCTGCTATTACTAATCTATTAATCTAAATGATATCCAGACAAAAGTTCTGCTCCTGTAAAAATGAAACAAAATAAAACCCATTCATTGTTAGTTTGGGATCAGAGTTCAGGAAATAATTGCTTTCCCCTCTGCAGCAGCGCCCTCACCTCTATCCACTCTTTTATGTTCTTTCTGATCTTCACAGGAGGTCCAGAGGAGATCATCACTCAGCAAGGACCAGCGCCAAAGACAGTGACAGAGTCCATCTCATCCCATCCTCCCGAGCCGCAGGGCCTGGGCCTCAGATCTGGCTCCTATAGCCTCCCCAGGAATATCCACATTGCCAGAAGCCAGAACTTCAGGAAAAGCACCACCCAGGCTAACAGACGCACCCCTGGAGAACCCGTGAGGCTTGTGCCAGAGCTTGAGAAAGAGCAGGTCAGCCAGAGCAGCGAACCCAGCCAGGCACCTGCCAGCCCCCGGGAGGCTGCCCTTGACTTGGACGTGGTGCTCATCCCCCCACCAGAAGCTTTCCGGGACACCCAGCCAGAGCAGTGTCGGGAAGCCAGCCTGCCCGAGGGGCCAGGACAGCAGGGCCACACACCCCAGCTCCACACACCATCCAGCTCCCAGGAGAGAGAGCAGACTGCTTCAAAGGCCATGTCCCAAAAAGCCAAGGAAACAGGCTCAACCGGGTGCACACAACAACCCCGGCCTCCTCCTGCAGTGTTGCCTCAGAATGTAAGAGCTGAAGATGCTCCCCTCCCATCAGGGGAGGACCCAAACACCCGACTGGCTCCCCTCACAGCCCCTAAGCCCCGGAAGCTGCCACCTAATATTGTTCTGAAGAGCAGCCGAAGCAGTTTCCACAGTGATCCCCAGCACTGGCTATCCCGCCACACTGAGGCTGCCCCTGGAGATTCTGGCCTGGTCTCCTCCTCCTCTTCACTGCAAGAGCAGAGGAAAGCACGTAGAGAAGCCCTGGAGAAGCTGGGGCTTCCCCAGGACCAAGATGAGCCTGGACACCACTTAAGTAAGCCCACCAGCTCCATTAGACTCAAGGAGACACGTGCCCAGCGTCCATCCCCAGCACCAGCGCAGGCCGCAGCGGCTATTCCTGCTGCAGGGAAGCCTCTGGCTCGAGCTCCGGCTCCAGCTCCAGCTCAGGGACCTTTGCCAGTGAAGTCTCCAGCTCCAGGCAATGTTGCAGCTACCAAATCCGTGCCAATTCCTATCCCTAAGGCCCCAAGGGCAAATAGTCCCCTGACTCCACCAAAGCCTGACTCTGGGCTGACTCTCCAGGAGAGCAACATCCCTGGCCTGAGACAGATGAACTTCAAGTCCAACACTCTGGAACGCTCAGGCGTGGGGCTGAGCAGCTACCTCTCAGCTGAGAAAGACACCAGCCCCAAAACCAGCACTTCTCTGGGAAAGGGCTCTGTCTTGGACAAGATCTCTCCCAGCATCTTGCGTAATTCTCGGCCCCGCCCGGCCTCCTTGGGCACAGGGAAAGACTTTGCAGGTATCCAGGTAGGCAAGCTGGCTGACCTGGAGCAGGAGCAGAGCTCCAAGCACCTGTCCTACCAAGGACAGAGCCGTGACAAGCTTCCTCGGCCCCCCTGTGTCAGTGTCAAGATCTCCCCAAAGGGTGTCCCCAGTGAACACAGAAGGGAGGCCCTGAAGAAGCTGGGACTGTTGAAAGAGTAGACTCTGCCACCAGCACTGCCAGCACTGCCCCTGACCTGGCTGAACAAGAAGAGACGTAGGCTCCACATGGGAGCCTTTGCCATCGCATAATTCAGGGCTTGGGCAGGGTAGGGTTCTCTCAGATGCTCTCTGCTCGAGATGAACAGGAGGGAGAGATTTGAATCCTAGCATACATTTATATTCAGAGTGTTGTGCCATTGAGTGCCCACATGGATCATTCCGAAGGTGATCTTCACAAGAGGGTGTGTGTTGGGGGGGTGGGTGGGCGGGGGATGGGGAGCGGGATACATCACTGAAGCTATTTATGTAACACAATGAGTCATTGTTCAGAATTTTGCTCTTGTTTGAGGTTTTCTTACATTGGGTAGAGTCAAGCCTAGCCAGAGCTGAGTGGAGGGGATGGCCATGCCTGAGAAGAAAAGTCAAATGAGACAATGGACATGTCAGTGACTTGAACAAAAGTTACAGCCAGCAAATGCAGGCTCACATGAAATGCAGGCCTCCTGGAATCCCTACAGTGGATGGAGACTGGCTCATACCTTGCCAGATCTCTCTCTCTCTCAGATCCAGCCTTCTGGACAAGGCCTAGGCTAAGAGGAGCTGGCTCATTATCTCTTCACCCACTGCCTTCTCAGTATCACCAGTCCCAAAGACAGGACACATCCCCGTAACCCAAGCTCTGGGCTGACTGAGAGCAGAACAGCTCCTGTTGATCTGAGAAGGCAGGATAAGTGACCACATACTCATGCCACTACCTCCACCAGGGAGAGTCCTTCTCCACAGGCTTGATAAACTCAGTTACAAACTGTGCTGTGGTCCCTGACTCTGCTACTCCTGTTCTTCCTGCTTTCCTGCTCCCTATCTCAGCCTGCACAGACCCCAGGGCTGGGCCAACATTGAGATGGGAACCCAACCCATGGGCTTTATAAACACCCAAGAACTGTTTCAGATCTTCTCTGTGTTGATGCAGGTAGTTTTAAATTTTTCTCAGTTCCAATGATGGAAATCTTACACAATACATCCTCTGCCAGTCTTAGTAGAATATCAGAGGTAAGAGGCACCTCAGAAGCTCCGATCCAGTGCTGCTGGGGAGGGGAAGTGACTCACCCCAGGTCAGCCTGCCATTTAGGGAAAGAGCTGAGGTTCTTACCCTCACTGCCTGCTGCCACCTCTCCTTAGCCAGTGCTGTTGTACAGCCACACAGCACCCTAAGGACTCATAGTCACTATCAAAGACTCAACCCTAAGGTCCTTCAGGATCTCAAAGTATCTTCTGAAGCATCAGAGATTAAATATTGTTCAGAATATTAGTTACTGCAGTGACTTTTAATTTAATCTTTGGAATATACCTATATGGTAACTCATCATTAACCAGAACACCTCTCCCCTCAAATTTCCTGACCAAGTTGTGCAGCTTGAGCAAATGCCAAAAGAGGGCATTATAGGTGGGTGGTGTGGGCTTGCAAATACAAGCTTGGAGGTTAGACATGGCTAGACATGACTCCTGCTTCCCCTTAGGAAGTAAATCTTACTCATGGCTGTGACCTGCCTGGAGTCCAGGATGCCCAGATGTGAGGGGCAGATAAAGGAAATGCTGTTGGAAAGGTGCTTTTTAAGGCTGCAGAGAATTTCTGGGCTGTGTTCTGATGGACACAGCACCAATGAAAGCCTAGAATTTCTGAAAATAATGACAAGGTTAAGGTAAGGACAACAAATACTCCACCCTGTCATGGTATGTGGGGTGTGGGTGTGGTGGTTTCTATGTACATTTGCTCATACACGCACACCCAAAAGCCTGTACCTCATTCCGGGCCATGGGTGAGGACCCAGTCTGCTGTGGCTCACAGGGACTCCCACAACTGGCCAAGTTATGTCTCATTACAGACCCCTGGAAAGAGGGAAAGCTGCCTTCTGGAGGACTGATTCCACATGCTGTATTCAGCTGAGCTGATTTCTGCCTTCTGGAGGACTGATTCTGCATGCTGTATTCAGCTGAGCTGATTTCCGTGTCTATTTCAAGCCGTAACCTGGGGAATGATCACCTTATTCCATATTCATGAATTGCCTTGATTAATAGGGAAACTTGGGAATAGCAATAAAGTCAAACTGGGTGGAATCTGGACCCCAGCATCACACGAGGGTGATCAGGATAGTCAAGGTCATCTGGAGTACAGCCTGTTAAGTTCCCACACCCTGGGAAAGGTCTTTTGTCTCCCAGACACGACATAGTCACAGACAGCCTGCACCTGCCACTCAGCGTCCTTATCCTAGTGATATGCCCGTTTCCCAGTTTTCCTAATCGGAGACTCCCTTCCCTCGTTATTGAAAGATTCTGTGCTTCTCCACATTCTCATCCTTCAAAGAGCATATTTTGCTCTAAGGATGGTCTTTGGGATTCAAGAATAGAATGATAAATCCAAACTTGGTCATTCTCATTTTGAAGACAGACAAGAGGATCCAGTGAGGACATCCACCTCACTGAAAGTGGTGCAAGACCCAGCTGAAGTTGTTGCATCTATCCTTTGGTAATCATATAGGGTTGCTCTTCATTCAGCTTGGATTGATATGGTGGGAGGTAAGAGTAGGGTCAGAATTACTCCTATCCCTTTTCAAGGAGTTGTGGGTAGAGAGAGGTGTGTAAGGGCCATTCATTTGACTTTCAAAACAAAGCAACAGCTCTACTTCCACTTGGCCTTAGACCTCTGCTACACCCTGCCATAGCCTTGGTGCCACTGGGCACAAGCCACCTGCCAAATATAGGAGCAGCCTCTCCCAGCCTGGCATGGGGAGGTGGTCTGTGCACTCAGATGTGTCGACAGCTGCTCTTGTGAATCACCACACCTATACTACCCTGGGAATTCTGTACTCTGAGTCCATGGGGCAGGACCACATGCCATCTCACACAGAGGTCAACGGATGAGCCCACTGACTTGTACGTTCCTTCCTCCACCGTTGGCAGCATGGTCTGGCAGAGGCTGCCCTGTAAGCTGGGGGTGGGCAGGTGCATGAACATTGGCATTTGTTTTATGGAGAAAGGGGAGGTGAAAGATTGGAGAGCAGGTCCCCATCAATATTCTGAGTTTGAGCTGGAGGTGTAGATTGAAGAGTCTACAGTGCAAAGCTCTAATCTCATGGACTAGGGGAGAAGGGGCTAAGGGGATGGACAGGAGAAGTTGTACAGAATCGAAGCAGGAATGCAGATAGAATGCATCTAGGCTCTTTCCTCAAGAGAGGGATGATGGAGCATATAGATCTGGCTCAAATTCAGCCTCCATCACTTACCAGTCGGGAACCCTGGTGATGTCACTTTAACTTTCTGAACCTCAGAGTCTTCACCTATAAGATGGAGAAAATAATACCATCCTTTCAAGAATGTTGAGATGAATAAGTGATATAAAACATGTAAAACTCAGTTCTGGACACAGTGTAGCTACTCAGTAAAGGATAATATTATCTTCTGGGTCTCATTTTTTTCTTCTCAAAGGAGGTGAATGTAGGGAGGGTTGGATGCCAAGAGCTCACCCAACTCACTTGTGAGAAAAAGATAGAGCCTGCTGCACACAAAACTTACAGCACAATCAGCCTTCGGCAGAGCCTCCAGGTGACTCAGCTTCACCCACGCCAGGCTTCCTGGAATTTGAAAAGATGGCAGTTGGCATGGATGTGATGTGTGTGTTCTGGTGCAGCCAGAACCAGCTGTTTCCAGCTTCTGTATCCTCAAACCCAACTACTTCCCCTTGATCATCAGTCTCTTTCTGCCCATGACCATGGAGCTCACTTCCTTTTGCTTCCTCTTTATTTCTTTTGCTGTGTGGTTCAAAGAATTATATGCTGTTCTACAGTTATTTATTTTTAAAATGGGTGTAAAAAAATAAACATACAACAGGAAGGAACTCAGAAAGATATAAAAGCTAGAAAAGGTTTTAAAGTTCCTGGAGCATTTTTCTTTTAAATAGCACCTTCTTCTAAATTTGTTCATCTCTGGAATGAATCAGACATTAGTTATCAGGAGGCAAGACGTGCCTTGGATGAGGTCTCTAAATCTCTTCAGGTATGGGGATGTGTGAATTGCTGGAGTCATGACCACTGTCATAATCATCACTGACTTTTAACATACACATGCTGTAAAAACAGATGACACTCTGATTCCAAGCTGTCGTTCTCTCTTACACATTACCTAGTTGGATTGTTGTCCTTATCACCACTTGCCACATATCCAGAATTCAAAACAATGTGGAACAGGCAGAGGTCTGTACTGGGTGAGCTTTAGTGGGTCACTTCATCTCAGTCTCAACGTGAAGGACCTGGACTTTCTCCTAGATCCAAAAGCCCTGAAATGTGTGTTTCAGTAAATCCAAGCAAGTTAGTTAGGAAAATCAACACCTGCCAAAAATAATCAAAATATTGTCTAAAATAAACTAAACCTCAGAGAACCTGAGACGGGAAGGAAACTTTTAGTTTCTCTAATTCAACCTCCCACCCAAAGAATAATAATCTCTATAGTTGGAGATATATATATATATATATATATATATATATATATATATATATATCTGACTATGGTCAGAAATAAACACACACACACACACACACACATCCAACTATCTATATATAGAGAGAGATGTGGTCAGAAATACGGATGAATAGATGGATGGAGGCTTAATGGACGAATGGATGGGTGGACGAGCGGATAGATGGAAGAAGATAGGAGGAAGGGAAGAGGAGGGGAGGGAGAGAGATTGAGAACATACAGTGAACAAGAACGTAGGCTCAGGAGTCAGGCTGCCAGGGTCTCTGCACTTCAGCTTCCTTTTCAGTGATTACTTTTTTCATCCTTTAACTTTCTTTGTGTGCGATTCAGGGAACTCTATGCTGCCCTACAGTTATTATTTATCTTAAAAATGGAGGAAAGTAAACTTAGATTATAACAGGATGGAACCCCATAAAGTAAAGCAATAATAATACTTATCCCTTGCAGTTGTTATGAGAATAGAATCAAATGAGATACTACATATTAAAAAACCCCACAGCACACTGCTGAATAAACAGTGTCTATTCATATATCACACAGTCATGTAATTCAGATCCCAACAGGGAGCCCCGTGAGGACTGATTAATCTTAGCCTGCACCTAGATTCCTCAGAACTGAGACAGTCAAGGCCCTCCTCCACTTCTGCAGTTCTGTCCCACCTGCACCTGTGTGTGCTGCTTCAGAGCCTTCTCACGCCTGCCCCCTTCCCAATCCAT